CCCCCTGAAATTGCGGTAAAAGGCTTATAACTCCACAATTATACATACAAATAATTTATCAATGCTTACATTGATATTCAAAAATACATATATCGTTTTATTTGCTCTTCATATTACCAATTGTGTAATTCACTCTAAATTAATAAAAATAATAATTGGAATATTTAATATTAAGTGAATTTTACTTAGGTAATTTTTTTAAATTTTTATCTGTGATAACTTTCTCTAATATTATAATAAATAGATATTTCTTTGATGGCGTTTAAAAAATCAAATCCACTCTCTACTGTCCAATTATTATTTTTATTAATTTTGAGCGAATTATGTGACGACTGACCACGAAGGCTATACATCGAATAGAATTTCAAATTTTTGAATATCAATGGAATGCACTGATAGATTTTTGTATACAGATGAAGTTAAAAGTTTAATCTCGATAAACTATTGGGGCTATTTTGTAGGCAAACCCTGATTCCACGGCAAGCCCTGATTCCCGACGATCCCGACCCCACAGGCTCGGTGAGCTACCCTAGTTTAAATAAGCATTGTATAGAATTATTTTATTTTCCTTCTTCTTTCTCTTTCTTTTCCTCAAAAAATGTACACATGGTTCAGAAGAACATTGCTGTTAAAGGATTAAATAAATTTAGAAAAATTAATCATGGATAGGTGGTTTTTATAATAAGGTTGGTCCTTTTTTGGGATTATTCTAATAATTCACTCAGAATTATGGGACACAATCATAATACCGGACCATTCGTTCTATCTTCATATTCCAAATTAATTTAATCATTTAACAGCAACGTTCTTCTGCTTATTACCTTTAATTTTACTTGGAAGCTTAATCTTTCATGAAATATTTTTTCAAATTATTTAACCAAATATTTTCTTCTTTAAAAACATTCACACGTGCGCATGTCATTAAACATTGATTTAATTTAAAAAATCTATTTCCACTCACACGTATTTTAAAAAGAAAGAGACTGGTAGTTAGTGTCAACCAGTCAATAAATATGTGAGCAATTGATCGGCTGGTTCTTTTTTCCTTTCCCTTTTTCCGTTTTACTACTTCCGCCCCTATTTTCACGCACACCTCTTCCTACGCATTCAATCTCTTCTTCAGTCTTTCTGCTCATCCTCCACCCCCTTTTTTCTTCCTTCCCGTTTTTACAAAATCCTCCTCTTCTTCCCTTCATTGCTCATCGCCTGAATATTAAGCTTTTACTTATCCTTTCATAACCTCGGCTGGTCGCTGCAGAGGAAGACACCCCTAGTAGGGAGAGGGAAGATTTTTATTTGCTCAACTGATTTTTACACAACCTCCTCCCTTTCTATAATATTTTTTTCTAAATTTTATTTTATTACTATCGCTTCCTTTTTTAGATATGGCCACCTAGTCTTTGTCAATCGAATTGCCCAAAAAATGAGAAAGGGAAAAGCAAAATCCTTGTAGTAGTTACCCAAAACTCTTCCCTTTTTTCTTCAATTTCCAACCCTTTCCACAGCTTTTTTTCATTTTCTTCTCATTTTCCGGTTGTTCCCCCTTCCCTTTCCCCCCTTTTCCCCTTCCTCTTCTCCCTTATGTTCCCCACGCACTACCCTTTTTGTTCCTTTCACCCTACCCCAATAGAGACCACAGTGCCCAATAATTGCCTTTCCCAAAAGGCCAATTCGTTGCTTCTCCCTTAAAAAAGCCTTTTAAATAAAGCAAAAAAAAACTTTAAATTTGGGTAAATTGCTAAATCGATTATATTTCTATACTTTTAGCTCCCCAAAAATTTTATTTTTCACAACCAACCCGATTATAAATTTATTTTTTTTTTTGGTTTTTTTTTCCTCCGTATAATTTTTTTATTTTTATTTTCTCTTTAGGAAGACTTAAAATTATTTTAGGACAAAAGTACATTGTTTAACTAAAAATAAATAAAATAATATTTCATAAATTTAAGTATTGCTACATTTTAAATATGAGAGGGAGAATTAAAGTATTTAATAAATAAATCTATTTGAATGTGAATAGAACAATAAATAATATTTTTTTGTAAAAAATTAAAACATTCGTAATTTTATTTTTTTCAAAACTTTTCCTACCAAGTACCTCTCCACCTTCCCCCATCACGTTTGGAAATTCTGGATAAAACAATTGAGGATATATAAGTAATAATCGATTTATCGATGATTTCATTCTCGTTTAATTACATAAATAATTCTGAACTATGAGGTCATAAACCGAAACTACAATGCTTACTAAATTCAATAATTTTTGTTCTTAAATTTTATATCTGCAATTGTGATATCTGGAACTATCTGCTGTAGCACCTCGTAATTGCTGTAGCCCCCCCCCTTCCGGTACCTAACCATGTTCCTCGTTTTAAACAATTTTTTAAAAATTTAAATTTAATTTCTTAAATATCAAAGCATTCCTAATTCTATTATTACAAACGTTACTTTTACAATACCTCTTGATGTCTGTTTAATCCCTCTAAAGAGATTTTCATATCCCTATTTTTGTATTTCTTTAAAGAATGCCTTGGGGCAGTCACAATTCCTCTTCTACATCCTCCTCCTCCTCAACAAATAAAAATTCTTTAAAACAAAAACAACAAGAACATTGTTGTGTCGAGAATTTAAAGAGTATAAATAATAATTCTAAAGAAAATCTCCGACATTGTTAGTGTGTTAAATTAAATTTAATTTTAAAAATGAAAAATATTTTTGCTTAAATTTTTTTTAAAATATTTTTAAAAATATTAAGAATCAGTTTTAAATTAAGGCTATATATTAACTCTCGTTATAATTGAGCTCAAGTTTTATTCATCATTTGAAACCCCCTATTTGTTTAATATAATCTATTTTAGTCTAGAATGGTTATAAGTAAAGCTAAAACATTAATATTATCGTTGTTGATGAAATGCTTAGATATTTTTGAATGTCAATAATTTATTTGACAGATTATTTGATGTGTCTTACAGAAATAGACTAAGGTACCTCAGGTTCAAGGTGCCGAAGAGCTATAACTTAATTCAAAATTGTCGAACCCGGGTTGCCATGGTATGGTTTGATTCAGCTTATCAGGGCGCATCGAACCATACCAGGTCGCCCTGGATTCGACAATTCTGAACTAAGTTACAGCTCTGCAATACCTTGGGGCGTACTGGTCTTGACACATGGGGTGGATATGAAATAGTATTTTATTGAAATCCTTGTCTATATATTTATACATGGAGTTAAGTATTCCTTTGTAATTATAACGAGAGTCAACTAACAAAATTATTAAAAAATTAACTTTTTTTTAATTTCTAGCCCAACGTATTGAGGGAAAAGCTTTTATACGTCGAGGAGCTTTAAGGCAAAAAAATGTACATGAAGTTAAGTTAGTCTTTACAAATTATTTTTTAAATAACTTTTTAAAAATTGTCTGTAGACTACATAAATTCATTGCTCGCTTCTTCAAACAGCCAACATTTTGCTCACATTGCAAAGATTTTATTTGGGGATTAAATAAACAAGGATTTCAATGCCAAGTCTGCACTCTGGTTAATCTTATAAATTTAAAATTTCTGACCTATCCACAACACACTCTTCCGGCTCTTGTCCAGTTCATGCGTCCCATGAAAATTTATGCGTCCCATGAAATGAATTGAAAAATCTTTTTTGTTAATCAATAATACTGTTCTTTTTTAATCAAATACATATGTATAGTATAAATTAGTATTTCACAGGGACCGAAATTTCGACCGGAACCGGAACATGATCCAATTTGAGTTCCGGTTTCCGGAACCGGAACTCTTCTAAGTTCCGGCCTGGAACCGGAACTTAAAAAATTTTGCTAGCAAATTTAAAAAATTTGTATTTTAAGACGTGTTGGCGGTTTAGCCAAATTCTTCGGTTAACCAAATCCGAGCCGATTAACCGGACCGAAACTTTCGGTTCACCGAACTGAAGATTTTTTGGCGGTTAAGTGATATATGTGGATTAGGGAGTGGAGTATAAACGGATTTGTCGGGTATAAGTGTTTGATATCGGGCGATAAAACCCACCTTTAAATCCTTAACGCCTTGCGTAAAGCCTACCACCTTAACCAATCGGCCACTCAATTATATGAAGGTGCTTAAAAGAAATTAAACATAGTATTTCTTTAGGTTTTTTATACCAAGTACGAGAGTACGTGCATTGGGGTTTGCCCGGAACCGATTTGTAAACCGGAGCCGGCACCGGATCTAAACCAAAAAACACCGGAACTTTACGGAACCGGAACTTCCAGTGAAACTCTGGTATAAATGTTAAATGTTATTTTTTAATTTTTGAATATTTTTTTCAATTCATTTCATGGGACGCATAAATTACTTTTGGGACGCATAAATTTTTATGGGACGCATAAATTATTTTTGGGACGCATAAATTTTTATAGGACGCATAAATTATTTTTGGGACGCATAAATTTTTATGGGACTCATAAATTCTCTTGGGACGCATAAATCTTCATGGGACGCATGAACTGGACAAGAGCCCACTCTTCCTATATCAGTTATAAATAGGGCTGGCAAAAATATACACGCAAAATCCCTCTGATTTAATCTCTGATTTAAACACTGATTTATTTAATATAATTTATTTTATTAAAGATTATATGTAAATACATATAGAGCGTCAACATTAAAAGGCCATCAAATCCGTGTTGTAAATTTTTGAATGTCAATAAAAATAATTGACAAATTATTATATATTCAAGGAAACCCCTAAAAATATTCATAAAATATGCAAAATTTGTCCAAAATATGCACCAATATGCAATTATACACGAGAGGGCCGAAATATGCTAAAATGTGCATTAAAATATGCATTTGCATATTTTTCCCAGCCCAAGGAATAAGCCTCTATGGAATATTTAGTCATCTAGGGTATCTGAAATTGTTTAATTAATGAGATATCTCTGTGAGGTCATCCAGGCTCTGTGAAAATTTTCTGGTCATAGTTAAAGTTTAGGCTAACTAGAAGAGTATAACTGAAAATATCTTATGTTCAGACGTCACTATCGTCCACCTCTCCAATTCCTCACATTTTTCAGGTTGTACATAAAAGGTGCCATGAATTTGTAAATTTTGCTTGTCCTGGTGCAGATAAGGGTGTTGACAGTGATGTTTGTATTTTTTAATTTTAATAAAAAATTTTTTGTAAATTAAAAGGACCCCAGACAGCAACACAGATGGAAAGTAACTACAGTTTCTTCCCCAACATTTTGTGACCATTGTGGATCCCTTCTATATGGACTAATCCATCAAGGAATGAAATGCCAACATTGTGATCAATATGGTAGGGGATATTTAGATGCTTAAATTGAGTTCCGTCCCGAGTATTTGGGTCGAAAAGGAAGGGGTTTTCGATAAAATTTAATGTTTCAGTCTTGATTAGGATACCTAATTCCAAACATAAATAAAGTATTGAAGATTTGCAGTGATTGTGTATAAGGGATAGTTTGATGAATTATAGAACCAGATTAAATAAATATACATATTTGCTTTTAAAAAATTTTTAAAATTAATTTTTAACCAAAGATAGTATGTACATTTGACTTTCATTATAAGCCATTATACATATATGGTAATTTAATTTACATATATCCGAAGTGTATAATAGAGAGTACTTTTCTTTATTCTTTATCTTTTAAAAGTTTTCAAATTTTATTTTAAAAAATATACATATAAAAAATCAGATAAATTGTCATACATACAAAATCTGCTATCAGATTTTGTAAAATACCCTCCATCCGACCCTTCGCATCAACTCATTGTACCGTTCACACTAGCTTTCCATGGCCCCCTCGACATTTCTGAATATCTAGAGACCCTTTGATTTACTTAATATATTATATTTTATTCAAGATTACGTGTAAATATAGAGCGTCCAAACTAAAAAACTCCGTCTTCGGCATGTTGTTTATTTTTGAATGTCAATAAAATTAATTGACAAATTATTCCAAATACATAAGTGTGGTATTACAGTTAGATCTCTCTCTTTTAATTTACAGTTAGATCTCTCTTTATTCCCTTACAGATTAAGAGAGCCGAACCTCCATTTATTTTCAAATCTCTTTAATATTTTTACAGTGTGAAAGTGAAAAATCCGAAAATCAAATCTGAAAAATCATCGGTTTTTTAGTTCAGTTCTGAACCTATACCCTACTCAGCAACACTCCGAGGAATTCCAGAAAAAGCCTCAAATTTTCTGCATAATCATTATTCTTTTTCAGTTCATCATCGTTGTGTCAGATATGTACCTAATTTGTGTGGCTCAGATCACACAGAGAAAAGAGGGCGTATCAATTTAGAATGCCATGTAAAGGATGGTGTTTTAAATGTATATATCAGAGAGGTAACCTTTTAGAGAACTTAAAGATTTTTTAAGTTTTCATCAAGCAGTTTTACTTAATATAATATAATTTATTTGAGATTAATTATAAGTAACTTTAAAATGGGAAATTTTGTATTCATTTGATTGAGGTTTTTATTTTTGAATGTCAATGATACAATTGACAAAATTGTGAGAATGATATAACTTGTGATCATATTTTCCTTTATACTGATACAGAAGCAGAGTACTTGACTCTGATTTCTCCTTCAAGACCTGAAAAGTTTTTTGGCTTAAGTTCAATAAATTTAGTCTGTAGAATTATTTGTGAATACCAATATTTTTATTCTGGATTAAGGAATGATCAAGGTTCATAAGCTGGTACTTTATTAATATCCCACCCCCCACTCCTATTTGAGTCTCAAATTAATTTTCCTTTTTTACTGTCAATCATTTATTTTTCCTACTTTTTTTAATGCCATCATTTTCTTCCCTTAAATATGGGTCACACAAAAAGGCGCGCGAGCATAACGGCGCAAAGCCATAACCTGTTTCAAGATTCTAGAACTTTACCAAAATTAATAGAATATTAAACAAAAATGACAAGGACCAAAAATCTTAAAGCAAGTTATCGCTTAGCGTCTTTATGGCTGCGCGCCCTTTTGGGCTGTACTCCTCAAATATCTTAAGTTTTTAACTTGCCTTTTACTTATAATATTCGAGGGAAAAAAATGATTGACATTAAAAAAGGAGGGAAATAAATGATTGACAGCAAAAAAGGAAAAATAATCTAAGACTCAAATAGGGGTGGGGGGGTGTGATATTAATAAAGTACCCATAAGCTGATCTGTATGCTTGAATTAATTCTACAAAAATATTTGTTCCATTTAAAAATATTTGAATTCTTTTTCAGGCAAGAAATTTAATTCCAATGGATCCGAATGGTCTATCAGATCCCTACGTCAAACTGAAACTCATCCCTTTCGAGGAGAACGAACAATGCAAACCAAAACAAAAATCAAAAACAATAAAATCTACACTTAACCCCGTTTGGGACGAACATTTTAGCTTCAAATTGGAACCTTCCGACAAAGATAGACGTCTATCCGTTGCTGTGTGGGATTGGGACAGAACTAGCAGGAACGATTTTATGGGCTCCCTATCTTTTGGAATTAGTGAATTAATTAAAGAACCTGTTGATGGGTGGTTTAAATTGTTAAATGATGAAGAGGGTGAGTTAATTTATATTTGGTAAAATTAAAGACTTGACAGAATCCATAGGAATTTCTTGAAAAGTAGATAGGTTTCGAAAAAGTTAGGTAATTCTCTTATTGGATATTTTAATAATAAGGCGAAATGACGCGCAACTTCGTTTCTTTTCTATTATCATTTTTGTCGTAAAAAGATTTTATTATTTTGTTTAATATACATAATTTATTTTATTTTTGCTTTTAAATTATTAATTTCAATATTCATTAAGTAGCTGCGAGATTTTCTCTTGATATTTTTAGATATCAGTGCTTCGCATTGATAAATATGTGCTATAAATGTTTCCCTTTTTGTGTAAAAATTAATTATTTGGTCAAAAATGACCAATTTTAAATGTACCATTTTTAATCATTTATCGTCATATTATTCATTAAAACTAAGGACAAAATATCCTAATAAAGGGATATATTATCAAGAACGTTCAATCTCAAAAACCTTCTAAAAATCTTTCCATAACCATGTCTAGCCATGAGAAAACTACCGTATAATAGTAGCTCTTTACGCGCACGGTGCAAACTAGTGTTTAAAAAGCTTAGGAAATTAATCTACATAAAATTCTAATCATTTTCAGGTGAATATTACAACATTCGAATACCTCCAGAAAATGAAAGGGATATTGAAAAACTTCAAAAGAAAATGGCAGATTTACACTCTACAAAATCACAAAAAGTAAATAACAAACCACATTTGGCCAATGCAAAACAAAGAGCTTCTACAGACAATAATTTAGAGAATTCTTGTAATAATAACAATTCAAAACCTGCCCAAAGATGTGTGGCTAGCGATTTTAATTTTTTGACAGTTTTGGGAAAAGGATCTTTTGGAAAAGTACTTCTTGGAGAACACAAACAAACTAAAGAATTATTTGCTATTAAAATACTTAAAAAAGTAAGAAATAAAATGGAAATTAAACTATCACTAGTTAGGAGAAGGGCGATATACTACAAGCCTAAATCCATTTTTTTCAACTGTTTGGGTTGATGAAAGAAAGTGACAAAGAGTTCCCCTAAATAACGCTCGACTCGAAAACATCAACTCTTTTTTAATACTTTCGAATCCTGGATCTGAAAAATGTTTTTTGATCTCAAAATGTATTCTTATCCACTTCATGTCAGTGTGACTAACCACACTTAAATACACAAAAGTTAAATGCGGTATTCTTTTATATTTTATTATATTTCGACTATTCTTTGTTTTCTTGTTCACACCTTAAGCATATTTTTATCCAAATTTCTAACATTTCCTCTTCTGAAGATATTTTCTTTAATTTCTCGTTTTTCAGGATGTAATAATCCAAGATGACGATGTTGAATGTACAATGGTCGAAAAAAGGGTTCTTGCATTACCTGACAAACCTCCATTCCTTGTAGCTTTATTTTCTTGTTTTCAGGTAAAATCAACAAAAAATATTTTGGAATATCCCCCTCAATTTAACAGACTATGGATAGACTTTATTTTGTTATGGAATTTGTTAATGGGGGTGATTTAATGTATCAAATACAACAAGTTGGGAAATTTAAAGAGCCTGTTGCTGTGTAAGTTTTTCCGTCTTTTTGGAACATTATTTTTAAGAGAGGGATATGTAAAGGGAGAAAATGAGAGTGGAATACCCCCTAAGGTGAGTGGAATATTTGAATATTATCCTATTTCTTGAGGTTTTTTCATCCACTGTCACACCCCTCTTTGTAGCAGGGATTGAAGTTGTTGTCCGAAAGCTGAACTTTTCGATTCGAAACACGATTTATTTCTTTTCAACATGACCCTCCTGACATGTAGTGAGGGGAAAGCACATGAAAGACCAAGAGATTTAAAAATGCACGATCTCTATTAACCAAATATGTACCTTCCCAAACCTTCCTAATAAAAAGATTTAATTTCAAAATTAATTTTAAAATTAATAAAAATTTCTCAAGTTTCTACGCAGCAGAAATAGCTTGTGGCCTCTTCTACCTCCATTCAAAAGGAATAATTTACAGAGACTTAAAATTGGATAATGTAATGCTTGAAAGAGATGGACATATTAAAGTTTGACTAAATTCTGTGGAAAAATATTTAAAAAATTCCATTTAGATAACAGATTTTGGAATGTGTAAAGAAGGAATTGTGGGTGATGCTACTACAAAAACATTCTGTGGAACACCTGATTATATTGCTCCAGAAATTATTCTTTACCAACCTTATGGAAAATCCGTTGATTGGTTTGGAATATTTTTTAAAATTAATTTTGAATTATTAATTGGGGGTGAAAGCTCGCCTTTAAATACCTCAGAATGGGATACATAGTCATGTTAAATATGGGAAGTAGATTTTGGTGTACTTGTGACGGCCCCCTGCCAATCTGACACAATAGTCTCTAGTTGTTTTTTCCTTCAATAGTATCACTATATTCGGTTCGCAGGGGTTTGACTTAATCACTTCTAAAAAAGATTAAATTTTCTTATGATACTATAATGGAGGTATAGGTTTATAATTCCAATTTACTATTTATCAATGCATAGCATTGATATTCACAAATAGAATTACGAAATCGAAATGGTCCTCGGAACTTGGTATTATTAAATATTTTTAATAAAATGAAAATAAAATAAGTTATATTAAACAAAATTAGTAAAAAGCATCTAGTTGTTTTTTCCTTCAATATTGAGTGGAAAATAAAAAACAATCAAGATGTGACTTATTTCTCCGGCGAGAACTCAAATCTTGAGAATCACAAGAAATAAGGGGCACTTCAAAAATTTCTATTATTTAATATGCGGATTATGTAACTAATTTTTACCAAACTGCTTTGTTTCGAAATCGAAAAGAAATTTTGTACATTTCGACAATTATTCGATCTTTAGGCCAACAAGCCCTATGTATTCAAATGGCTCCTATACAACTCATCCAATCGTTAACTCATCCAATCGTTAACTCATCTACACGGCCAAAAAGGGGTCAACTCATCCAATCGTTAACTCATCCAATCGTTAACTCATCTACACGGCCAAAAAGGGGTCAACTCATCCAATCGTTAACTCATCTAATCCTTAACTCATCTACACGGCCAAAAAGGGTCAACTCATCCAATCTTTGAAATATCGGCCGGTTGAGTCCCTAGCCGGTTGAGTCTATGGTCAGTTGAGTCTCAACCGGCCCAAGACTCAACCGGCGGTAATCAACCACTCAAACGGCCGGGACTCAACTGACCAGGGACTTAACCGGCCAGGGACTCAACTGGTCATGAACTCAGACGGCCAGGGACTCAACTGGTCATGAACTCAGACGGCCATGGACTCAACTGGCCATGGACTCAACTGGTCATGGACTCAACTGGTCATGGACTCAACTGGCCATGGACTCAACTGGTCATGGACCCTACTTACCAGAAACTCAAACGGCCGGAGACTCAAACGGCCGGTACTCAATAGTCTCGTTCCGAAGGATTGGATGAGTTGACCCTTTTTGGCCGTGTAGATGAGTTAAGGATTAGATGAGTTAACGATTGGATGAGTTGACCCTTTTTGGCCGTGTGGATGAGTTAACGATTGGATGAGTTAACGATTGGATGAGTTGACCCTTTTTGGCCGTGTGGATGAGTTAACGAATTTTAGCCGTTTAGATGAGTTGACCCCTTTTTGGCCGTGTAGATGAGTTAACGATTGGATGAGTTAACCGGACACGATTCAAATCCCCTATTCAATTACCGAATAAGTTACGGAATTTTAATTACAATTTTTTATTTATCAATGCAAAGCATCGATATGCAAAAATACCTTATCAAATATGGGCACCACGATAGTGTATGGTAAAAATTTAATTTTAATGAAGCTAGAACAAAATAAAATATATATTAAGCAAAATTGTCGTTTATTTGTCGCTAAATTTAAAAAATTATGAACTTCTTATCAAATGGGAATATAATAAATAGTTTGAAATTTTGTAAAATATTTTCGAATACTTGCATATAATTTGCTTAAATCTATTACAATCTTTAGTCGGCTAATTTTAAATTTATTCTCATAAATAACAATTTTTTCTAACATTTAATATTTTTAATTGTAGTTCCTTCAAATGGGCCTAAATTAAAAAAAAAAAGATTTTAAGAAGTAAATATCATAAGTAAAATATTTTTACAAGATTTCTTGAATTTAGGTTGACTTTAATGGGTTTATGTGTCTCAAAAGGGAAATAATTTAAAAGGCTGCTTAATATAAAATATTTTAATTATTATTATTATTTAATTAATTAATAATTTTGCAAACTCGAGAAAAAGATACACCATTTATATATTTTTGAATATCAGTGCATTGCATTGATAAATTTAACGTTTCAGAATTGTGGTAGTCATGACAGGTTCTAACGAATAATCGAGTTTTCTTTGGTTTGACTCTTCTAATAAGATCTCTAAAAGCCTTCTAATTATCAAAAATTTTTATAAAATTTAACTTGGAATCCTATTTTCATCATATCACCAACCTTATTGTGAATTGATAAGTTGTGATTATAATCTTTTTTCCTAATATTTTTCAATTCATTTCCATCCAAAAACATAATTTTTTCTGTTTTACCCTCTTTTATTTCTATATTTAGGAGGGTGCTTAAATATTAAAAATAAATTTAAATTAGGTGGGCCTTTGGAGTGCTTCTCTTTGAAATGTTAGCAGGACAACCCCCTTTTGATGGTGAGGATGAAGATGAATTATTTACTGCAATAACAGAACATAATGGTTATTTAATTGGGATGTTTTTTAAACAAAAATTTTAATTTTTTAGTATCTTATCCAAAGTCAATGTCCAAAGAGTCTGTTCTTATCTGTAAAGGCTTTCTAACCAAACCCCCTTCCAAAAGGTTGGGGTGTGGGTCTGAAGGAGAGCGTAATGTTAAGGCAAGTTAATTTGTGATTTTTTATTTAACAAAATTTGTCACTTGGAATCTTCACCCTAACGTACATAGCTACAGTGTGTTAAGAAATTATAACCCCCCTTGAATTTTTTGTGTTTCTCTATCTTCCCGTTGTCGGATTGTTCTGAAATTTTTGCAGTAGTTTTGTAATGTATATTAAATAATATCTACAAAATATCTATAAAAATTTCTGATCACAAACTTTTTTATGGACGTTTTCCAAAATATTAGTGTTAATAAATTATAACCCCCCTATATTAAAATTTTTTTAAAGCACGGAATATCTCTACAAAAATTTTTCTGAACATATCTACCAATATAGATAAGAAATACAAAAGAAATGAAATTCTTAGGTATTCCCATCATCGAGATCTCGAAATCCGAAAATCAACGTAAAACGGGGGTAAAGGTCTTTAAAAAATATTTTCGACCCCTTATAGGGTGTGTTAAATTTTTATTTGATACTCAACTGAAAGCCCTTTAAATTTGCTATAAGATAGCATTAATTTTATTTTTCGGAAAAAATTCATCGTTGAGAAATAATGGGTTTAGTTTATAGGTTACATTTTCGTCACTTTTTGGGGGCGTTTGATTAATTTTTATGACTTGAAAGTTTATCACTTTGTCACTCGACGGTGAATTTTTTCTGTATAATGAGATAAAGACTAACTTGTAGCAAATTTTAAGGGCTTTCAGATAAACCCAAAATAAAATTTTTATTTCTCCTATAAGGGGTCGAAAATATTTTTTAAAGACCTTTACCCACGTTTTACGTTGATTTTCGGATTTCGAGATCTCGATGATGGGAATACATAAGAATTTCATTTCTTTTGTATTTCTTATCTATATTGGTAGATATGTTCAGAAAAATTTTTGTAGAGATATTCCGTGCTTTAAAAAAATTTTAATATAGGGGGGTTATAATTTATTAACACTAATATTTTGGAAAACGTCCATAAAAAAGTTTGTGATCAGAAATTTTTATAGATATTTTGTAGATATTATTTAATATACATTACAACACTACTGCAAAAATTTCAGAACAATCCAACAACGGGAAGATAGAGAAACACAAAAAATTCAAGGGGGGTTATAATTTCTTAACACACTGTACATTTATTTATCAATGCAAAGCATCGATATCCAAAAATATAATACTGGGTTACGAACGAGCTTATCATAATTATGTGGCTTTAAAATTATTCTTAGTTTTATAAAAATAGAATAGAATATATTATGCACAAATCTTAGTAATTATAAAATAGGTATTCGAATGAGAACAAATATCTGTCCTTATATGAAAGATTGGGATATAACAAAAAATGAAATATTTTAGAATACAGCTTTGTGTTCTTGAAATACCCTACCAATTACTTTTTTGGGAGTGGGACATAACTACTTATGAGTACTTATATGCATATAAGCATGGTGAACTGGGGCTTTTTTTCTTTTTTGGGGTAAATTGGATATGTTTACTCATAATTAGGGGTTGGTCTGTATTTAAATTACGAGTTATCGTATTGGTATTCTGATGCGAGTATACCGACTGAAAAACTTCGTATGTATAACTCTATTTATATCACAAAAATTTTCTAGGAGCACTGTTTCTTTCGTCGTATCGAATGGCCAAAGATAGAAAGGCGGCAAGTTCAACCTCCCTTTAAGCCTAAAATTGTAAGTCTCTTTCCTATTTTAAAAGTCAAAAAATTAAATTTTCCCCTCTTTGTGCTGTGATTTTTTGTTTTTATTTTATTTTTGTGTTTAGTCCAGCAAATCGTCAACAGAAAATTTCGATGCCCAATTTCTCAGACTTCCACTGAAATTAACCCAACCCGATTGGGATATTTTGGAAGAAATGAAGGGAGACGAATTTGTTAGTTTCGACCATTTTAATTTTGATTATGCGGCGGAGGCTGCCTGTGCAGAATATGGAAGGGAGGCGGAAGAAGCTCTTTTAGGGCATAATAAAAATTTTGAAGAAAATTTGGGGAAAAATAAAGAAGAATTAAATAATGGAAATATTAAAGAATTAAATGAAGAGGAAATTAAAAAACAAAATTTAAAATTAAATAGTGAATGTAGTGATGATGCTGTTAATATTACTAATAATTTGTCTGTTAATAATTAATTTTTCTTTTAATTTTTTAAAATTTCTTTTTGATGTGGTACGTTGTGGAATTAGTGTATTTATGTATATATTTCTCTTTTACCTAATTCTATTTTGTTGTTATTATTCATGTTTCTTGGCCTTGAAAGCTTCTCAAAACTTGCTTGCATAACCAGTAAAAGATACTGACATTATCCACCACAGTGGTGTTGCCACTCAAAAATTATTTTCGAAACTAGAGACCGGACTGGGAGTATCGTACGAGAATCAGGATTTCGAAAAATTTTCGATACCGAGATTTTCGATTGAGATCTCGTCTCGTCCGGTCTCTACTTGAAGCTCTCTCCGTCATCGGACACCCTTGAAATAATAAAAATTGAGGATATCCGGAGATTTCCCATCATCCGTCAACTCTATTAGCTATAGTCTCGATAGAGTTTCTCTCATCGATGGTCCCCGACAATTTTATTATTCTTTCCGGAAGGTGGATATTATCCTTCTCTTTCTCCCTCTTTAATCCTCCATATACTTTATTCTAATCCTTTTCTTTTTCTAATCACTTTATTTTTGTTTTAACCACGTGTTTTTTTGTTTAGATGTTATATATTTTTATTTTAATCCCCTCCTACTACATACCTTGCCTTTTTAATATTTTTTTATAATTTTTACACCACTTAATAATTTTTCTGAAATAAAATATTTTTTGCTTATGGATTAAAAATAGTAAATAAATTAATTATAGATTCTTGAAAAATAAATATTGACAAATAAACGATTAATTAATCGAAATTTTTAAAAATAAAAAAATTTCCCTTGAGAAAAATTTTTCAAGTTAAATTAATTTTTTTCAGCGTTCTCGGGATGACACAAGCAATTTTGATTCAGAATTTACAGGAGAACAACCAAAATTGACTCCTGTAGATCGTCTTTTCCTCATGAATTTGGATCAAGTAAGCAAAATATTATTTTAATTTTAGTAGGTAAGAGCATCTGATCTAGATCTTTATCAATGCAAAGCATCGATATACAAAAATATATTAGGAAGTCAAGCAACGAAATGCACCTCTAAAATTTTATTTAGTAATACACTGCGGTGCATATGTTTATGCACACTAGTTTTTTGTTCATAATTTTATGCAATCTTATTCAAAAAATACGTTCTATATAGCAATCGAAAGCTCTATTTGTATCTCAGTTGACATGTTTCTGCATTTTCCATGAAAATGAAAATTGGCCGAGATAATCCGGATCTACTGGATATACCAAATCCCATATCCTCGGAAAAAATTTTCGGAAAAAATTTAACAAACCCATTTGATAAAGCATATTTTTCTGAGTATTTTTCACAAAACCGCTTAGAAATATCTTTTTCCGGAACGGAGATATGATTTTTTGAAAATCAAAAAAAAGCGTTTTTTTGACGAAAAATGGCAAAAATATGGTATTTTTTCGATTTTCAAAAATTCATAACTCGGTCGAATCTCGACCGATTTGGATGATTTTTTTGTATTATATGTAGAATCTAGAGGAGAATCACATATATTTTTTACAGACCTCAAAAAAATTTCTTCGAAAAGTTGAAAATGTAGTACCTGTTAGACCGGTCGAAAAGTTTTCGAAAATATCAGAATTTCGAAAAATGCAGAAACATGTCAACTGAGATACAGATAGAGCTTTCGATTGCCATATAGAACATATTTTTTGAATAAATGTGCATAAACTTATGAACAAAAAACTAGTGTGCATAAACATATGCACCGCAGTGTATGTATATAAGTAAAAATAAAACAGGATATATTAAGCAAAATCTTAGTAAATATAGTACCGAAAATTTCTAATATTCCTAAATCCTCCAACTCTTCAGAAATTTTTTTTTTGTCATTTTCCATTCTAAAAATTTTTCTATTAATTAAAAATATTTTTTAATTAATTTCAGAACGAATTCGAAGGATTTACTTATGGAAATGAGGATTATGCTTTACAGAGAGATGGATTATTTGAATATTAAATAAATATATTTTTAGATATTAATGTAAAAATATAAAATTTCTTTTAATTTTTATAGAGCTTAAAAAATTTTTTTAAAAAAAAGAGCTCATTTCCCATTAAATTGACGCCATTATTTTGCCCAAAATTATTACTATGCTTTTTGTTTTTTAACACAACCCCACACACAAATTAATTAAATAAATAGCTCATAAATCTGTATAAAATAAAATTTAAATAAAATTTTTCGTGGCAATTAAAACGCAATTTGAATTGCTAAAAATTAATAAAATTTGGTAGAATTTGGCTGAATTTCTATAAAATTTTTGAATTTAATTTAAGAAATTACACGCAAACTAGATTTAATTATCCTCATATCGGCGTTTTACTCTTTTAAGAGTTAATACAAAATTTATACTTAAGCCATGGTTCTTATCTCGATTTTTTAAAAATCCGCAATTCTGAGCTAAAAAATCCTCATTTTATAAAAAATCCGCAAAAACTTTTTTGAAGACTTCTAGCCAAAAAATTAACTGTTTTTTGTGTTGCAAGCACAAAATCTGAGGATTCTGGAAGGCCTTAAGTTAGGAAAAAATTTATTCCAAAAACTAAAAGAAAATAAAAAATCTTCAAAAGACCAAAAAAATCCGCATTTTTAAAAATAATCCTCATTGACCTATCGAAGGGTCGGGTTGCTACCCAAGTTTGAAGCATTTAATAAACTTTGTTGGCGTAAATAAAGAAAATATTCAAAAATTTTGCTTAATATTAAATATTTTTAGAAAATATGCTATTAAACTAATTAGTAAAATCTAAAATGTGTGATCATAATAATGAATGTTTTCAGATATATTTTTGAATATCAATCAGTGCATTGATAGATTATGTTTATTTATTAATGTGTCAGCGTTTATAAACAAATTCTAATTGAATAACTTGTTGATTTTAAAAATCGGTTTCTTCTTCCAATTACCAACTTTTCGTCACAAGCAATCATTAGGGGTGTATAAAAATTTGGCCTTTTGCCCAAATAAAGAAAATATCAAAAAGTTTTTGCTTAATATTAAATATTGTAATAAATATTTTTATTAAATTAACTAGTAAGCTGGTAATTTGTTGTACATTAGAATTTTCTTCATATTTTTGAATATCAATGCAGTGCTTTGATAGATTATTTCTACTTATTATATGTAGTTTATTGTTTGAGACAGTTAAATTAAGGAACCGTTTGATTTTAAAAATCGGTTCTTTTAATCGGCTTTGCATTCGTATTTTACAAATCCGAAATTTTAATAAAATATGATCTTGAATCATTCATATTTTGTTATTTACCGTATTTTCTCGATTAATTCCCCTGGGGAATTAATATTTCAACACATACGTCGGATGGGGAATTGTTCCTTTTCAATTGAAACATTTTTATCAAAATCACACACTACAACGATTAACCTAGTGACCGGAGACCGGGCTGGGATTGTCGAGAAATTTTTGGCAAAATTTTAAGTATTTGTTTACATCTTTGTTGTGGACAAAATAAGGAAAAATCCGCACATTTCCGAACCCTGACTTAAACATACTTCAATTAATGGAACCTGTGTCTTTATTAAACAGGTCGAGTGTTTTAGGAAATATTTTAGGAATTTTCTTAAATTTTCGGGTATTCGAATTTTAACTTTTTTCTTTAAAAATATTTAAAAATCTAACTGAAGCTGGCTGTACTTTAGTACGTGGGTCCCGGAGTTAATATACAAATGTTATACCATTCGAAAGAGCTAGTCGAGCTGAGTCGAATGCCACCAGTTTTAGCTCTAGGAAAAATTTTTGAACCGAGATACAGTCGATTGAAAATCGAAAAACCAAAGGGGGGACCAAGCACTTTTTTGGGGTGAAAAATTCGAAAATGCAAATTATACCTCATTCGAAAGAGCTCATCGAGCTGAGTCGAATGACACCAAAATCAACGAAATCTGACTTGATTTGACAAAGTTATGATCTTTTCTTTTAGCTCCTTACCTATGGCATTTGTGGAGGTTTTTGCTGCTACGGAGGCACCAAATACGTCCAGAGCAAGGGAGATAGGGATAGGTCTATGTTACGAGCCCAGACCCAGCGCCCGTAGACTCCCCGCGAGGCGCGTGCCGCAAAACCCCGCGCGAAGCGCGGGGTTTTGCACAAGCGCCTCGCCGACGACCCATAGGTTTAGAGTTTTTTGTGTCATAACTTTGTCTCATCTTGTTCAATCACGGTGATTTTGGTGTCATTCGACTCAGCTCGTCGAGCTGAGTCGAATGAAGTATTATTTGCATATTTGAATTTTTTGACCCCGTAAATTTTCAAATTTCAGGGGTCTGTAACTCGGCCAAATAAAGTCAGATTTCGTTGATTTTGGTGTCATTCGACTCAGCTCGAGGAGCTCTTTCGAATGAGGTATAATTTGCATTTTCGAATTTTTCAATCCAAAAAAGTGCTTGGTCCCCCCTATGGTTTTTCGATTTTCAATCGCCTGTATCTCGGTTCAAAAATTTTTCCTAGAGCTAAAACTGGTGGCATTCGACTCAGCTCGACAAGCTCTTTCGAATGGTATAACATTTGTATATTAACTCCGGGACCCACGTACTAAAGTGACCCCCTGAAGCTCCCCTAATTTTTAATATATTTTTTAAAATATTATTTTTAAGTTTGTCAACCTTCTCTTTAATTTAAAATATTTTTCAAAAAATAAACACATTTAAATTTACCTAAAATAAAATGTTTTCAAGTATTTTTAGGCCAAAGACTGAAAATAAAAAAATTTATTTAAAGAGTACTTGCTATAGCAACAAAAAGGAAAAGCAAAAAAAAAAGCTTAAAAATAATAATAACAATATTTATTTATTTTTAAGAGTAAAAATTGAAGACAAAAATAATTTTGAAAAAAAAAATAAATGTCAAGTAAGACAAAAATATTTTTTGGGGTATTATTAAATTACAGAAAAAAATACGCTTGCATTATTTTATTTTTGTTTTTAGAAGGTGGCATTTTAATATTTTATTTGTTTTTGAATTTATTTTGTCCAGTCAGAAATAGTGTTCGGCAAATGGATTTTTTCGGTACCGGTACCGGTAGTACCGAAAAGTACCGATACCGAATTAGTACCGAAAATTCCAAAATCTTATCGGTACCGTACCGGTACCGGTAG